AGGCTGGTCTCGAACTCCCGAGCTCAAACGATCTGCCCGTCTCGGCCTCCCAGAGTGCTAGGATTACAGGCGTGAGCCACCACGCCCGGCCATGGTATAATTATTGAACTAAGCTTCTCAAAAGCAAAGCACATGTTTATTTATCCTCGTATTGCTGCCAAATGGTATATAATTGAGGCTCAGTAAATGTTTGCTGAATTAGATAGAGATTCACTTCATGGGTCGCCCAAGCAAAGCAAGAATATCTGACAATGCTCAAACGTGGGCATCATCTAACACATCATATTCCAAGAAGGAATAAGTTCCCATCACTGAAGAGAAAAAAGGACACCTGCAATGAAGGACTAAGGAATACATATGGAAGGTAAAACGGCCGAGAGGGCTGCTGTATACACCAAGCTCACTGAGCAGCAATCACCCCAGCTGCCTTGTCCCTGTCCACTGCTGAGCGTAAGTGAGTAACATATACACACAAGGTCAGTCTCACTCTACGCTTGTCCAGTGAAGAATGGTGTGTATGATATGATCTTTAGACATTCTGTGAACTATTCAATGGGGGCCCTTATGTTCGAGACACTGGATGTACAGAGAGATGTGAATACAAAAAACATTAGATAAGGAACTTACAGATTTTCTAATGGAGGTATATGAGGCATGGAGCTGACATGTGTAAATATCTACTGTGGCAGTAAAATACCTGTGCTCACCAAATCTGTTCTGTTTTCTTCCTGGGCAACATTTCCCAAATTTCCTATAGTTCCATTCCTAGAGTGGTGTTCATATAGCTAATGGAATATTGTGGAAGTGGTGAATTCCACTTCCAGGCCTGGCCGGTATAAATCTCCTTGATATGAATCCTCTTCTCCCTTGCAGTGACCTCGGGGGTCACACATTAAAGACAATGGTGTCAAAAGATGGAAGGAGCCTGGGTCCCCAGATGACTGCCAAGCAGTCCATACTCCCCGCACCACCCCCACCGCTGACTACATTGAATTGTGAAGTGAAGGAGAAATAAGCTTGTATTGTGGTAGGTTACTGATTTGGGAGTCATTTGTTACAACAGTTAGATCACCCTGTTGTGTGCTGGGTATGACACCACGCACACACACTCATGCTGAAGAGAAAACAGGTTAAAGATAAAATAACAATATAAATTAGCATTAAATGAGACAGGCATGACAAATCGAAATGACTACTGGAGGAGGCTCTATGTGTTCAAACCCTGACTGCCACTCTTTAGCCATGTGACCTTGGGTAAGTCTCTTAATTATAAAACGAGAGTAATGGACTAAGTGAACTGAATGGTAAGAGTCTTTCCAGAAATACAGCAGAAGTATAAATACACAAATATAAAACCACTTCCTGGTCTAAAATTGAGCTTGAGAGTATAGAACTTAGACATCTTCCAAGAAAAAGATAAGGATTCAGGTGATGACAATGAAGCTGAGGAGCTGGGTGGGCCAATTCCAAATCTAAAGGGTGGGAAGCAGGAATTATTCTAAAGAGACAAAAAATTCCTATCTCATAAGAATCCTGAGCTTCTTAAGAAAGCCATGCATACTAGATTATACAGTTTAATAGTGCGTGCATATTAGGTAAAAACAATCCATATATCCCTGGCCAGAGTAAAAGCAGCTCTCATTCTAGTGCCATTTTCAAAAAGAGAAAGTTGCAGAAAACTCTATGTTCTTAAGACAATTTCAATTTTGGAGGACAACATTTATACATTATTTCAAATTCCTTTCCCCTAAGATTTGGGTATGTGTATCACTTTATCTCTCTTGCTGGACTCATTCAGCATAGTTCCTGTCCTCCCCTTAATAACAGCATGCTCAGCTGTGAAAACTAGTTGCTTCTTTAGTAAATGTCAGGTGGCACGACAGGCCAGTGCCTGGACGCTAGTTAGGCAGTGGAGTCCACAATCGCTACTTGGGCGCTGGCTGTTTCCTACAGCTGATGAAATAAGAACAGCTGCTGCCTGGAGGACTGCAGCCAATCCTAGACGAGTGGTGCTCAGAAGTGTGTGTCTGCAAAGGAGTCACACCCCTCTGTTGTGGCTCCAGAGCACAGCACCCTGTGCTCAGCAAGCGCTCAGGAAGCTGTGCTAACTGACTTAGCCACACACGGCACCCACGGACATGTCATGTCCTTGCTTGTCAATGGCCACTGGGCACAAGCGGGCTCTAAAGGTCAGTTCATCACCACTTCCCAGGCACTTCTTTGCCCTCCTCTCAGTTGCAAGACATCTTCCACCCCCCAGAGAGTTGTTCCCATCGTTCTGACCTGAGACCTAAGAGCTCAAGAGCCCTGTATCCACCCTCTGCACAGCAGGCTCAGAGAATGTAGATGATGCGGCCCAAGGCAGCTCCAAGTCGAGCAAACCCTGCATTGTGTAAGTCAAGAAGAGAGGGATGACTCCCCCAAGTGCTTTCTTTAATAAAAGCAAAGCTGCTTGGTGAATGTCAGAGTGATCTCAACTGAGACTTTACCTGGTTCTTTGACATCTTCTTTAGTCTTGGATTCCTGAAACCCAAACAATAAAGTAGCATTACTACATTACTAATAATTTCTTTACATTAAGAAAACGTCCCAGCCTGCAGAGGTAGAGTAAATAGAAACTATAATGAAAAGTTCTGATAATGGGTGCTCTCGAATCCATCTGCAGCTGTGTGTAGTGGCATATCCACTTGATACTCACAAAAATCATTGATGAAAATGAGACACAAATAACAGAAACCTCGATTAACACCAAGTGTTTGGGGAATGGGGTAAGACCTAAATCAGAAGACAGCTTAGCTCATGATTTTCCCCTACTTAACATTTACTGAGTGTTTATAACAAGCACCATGCTACGTGCTTTGTTCAGGCCATCTCGTTTAGTCTTCACGATAATCCAACAATCCAATGAGGTAGATACTATTACTATTCCATTTTACAATTGAAGAAATACCTAATACATTATTAGTAGTATGGATGGCTGTTTCCTCAAAATGATGTAAAAATAAGACAAATATAGCAAGTTCCAGGTGATAAAGAACCTAGGAGAAACACATCCAAAATTTTATATCCCAAGCCACCATTATTATAACCCCCAAATCTAGACTGTTGTAAATGTGTCTAAAATCAAACAAAAGCACCATCTCCTTCATTATTCCATACGACCCTATCACTGCCCTTGTTCCCTCTACACTTACAATCTGCTTCTCTCACCCCGGTCTGATTTATACTTCTTGTTCCACCATATTTTCCTCTTCCCATCTCACACACCTTAGAAGAACACCTTAATTCCCCTTTAAGCATGCCTCAGTTTATTTACCTGTGTTAGAATTTTCTCCTCTGAGACACCATGGACTTCATCTGGGGCTGTGGGCAACTGGAGACTTAACGTGAATGTTCCTTTTCCTGGACATACTAACTCGTGATTCTTTCTTTCCAGAACCCTCTGCCGAACTGAAATGTCCAAAAAAGAAAAAATAAGAAGCCAAATCACAAGCAATCTTTATTTACAAGATCATTCCATGATTTCTATAGGTCTCATTATCGTCAATCAATAGCTTGATCAGTTTCTCAAGAGAGGCTATGTGTAGTGAAAAGAGGAGAAGTTTAGCAAGCAGACATGGATTTGAATTCCATCTTTAAACTTACTTTTTAATATTGAGCACATTCCTTAATAAGCCTTACAAAGCCTCAGTCTTCTTGTCTATTAATAAGGTTAATGGAGATTGTTTCTGTACATGCATTAGACGTATAATAAGTTGAAGAAACATTATAGAGAACTTGACATTCAGTAGGCACTCAAAAAGGTAGCGTTATTTATTTTACACTCAACTGAACTAAAGTAAAGTTTCCCCATGGAGAGCCAGTGAGGATGGAGTGCTGGGGCATGGCATGGTAAAAGCCATGTTTTAGGAAGGTGACTCAGGTGGCCATGAGCAGAATGTTAGAGTCTAGTTAGAAAGCTGTTTCAATTAATTCCTAAGCTTGTGGTGATCAGGGTCTCACATCTGATAGTAAAGGGAGTAGAAAAGAAGGAATGGGAGAGATTGGACTATAGTGAAACAACTGAACAGTGGGCATGAGAGTCCAAAGACCTAGATTGAAATTCCAACTCTGCCATGAGTCTCAGTTTCCTCATGTGAAGTGATGTCTGTGAATGCTCTTGATAACACCCTGCAGAGCTATTAAAACCTACATTATAAGAAGGAGCAGCCAGAGAGATAAAGAGAAAATTGGTGTATCTCAGACCTCGGAGACCCGAGAGTAAGTGAGTTTAAAAAAAGGAGGCATGGTCCACGGAGTCAGGTGGTACAAAGAGGCTAAGAAGAAAGGGAACTTCTGACAGGGCCCTACTGCTCCTGGATGTAGCTCCTGCATGAATGTGGGTCACCATGTTGCGTTCTGATGTGCTGGGCCTGGTAAGGCCAAGGATGTAGGTCAGAGCCAGTTTCTAATTTCATTCTTTAAGAGGAGGGCAGATGTTTTCACATGAACTCCTGAGGGGTTCTGCTAAGCCAGAGTGAGGACTGAGGATAGGAAAGGACACCTAAAGCCTGAGAACAGGCTAAGTTTTGTAAGCCAAGTTATCTCGAATCGTGGACCTCTGTGTTGCATTCCTTTTATTATTCCCTAGACTTTGATAAAATGCTGTCCAGGCATCTAAATGTGCCAGCCTGTTCCCAGATGGTGGGCAATGGGCACAAGTATTTCGGGAGAGCAGATGGTTGTAGTATCAGCATGTGATTCCCAACAAGGAGGAGGTCAATTTGGGAAGATAAAGAGCTGAAATTCTGATGTCCAGCCTCCCTTATCCATGTGGACAGTCTCCCTCCTGCACCAACCTTAGACCATCTCCATTCTATTTTATTTAAGAAGATGGGTTCCCTTACCCCACGGAGTCTGATAATAAACAGGAGTCAAATTATGACCAGAAAGTATGATAAAATATGCATATCTGAAACAGAGTGTAAAATATTGTAAGTCGATTTACACTCAGCTTTGCAGAAATCCAGGGAACTAAACAAAAGTGAAATACTGAATAAAAATGAGCCCCCATTTGTTCCTATTTGCTATACACTAATTTCTACAGAGAAGTGCTGGAGAGCTCATTCTTCTTGTTTGTCTTTTACAGATTTGTATGAATAAAGTCATGTTCTACCGTGGGCCTGCGCCTGTTGAGGCCACTTTCTGGAGTGGAGAGTGGAGGATGGCTTCTGTAGAAGAATGCATGTCCTGGGACTTAAAGCTTTCATTGTTAGCAAGTTCCTGCCGACTTGCTACTGAGAAAGTGGTTCCTCAAGTGGGAAACTGAAACTGCGTAGGGGTTTTCTACCCCCCAGGAACTTTGACTGTAAAAGGTTTGAGTCTTCGGTGCTGGGGGTTAAGACTAGAGGGGCCACTGGAGCAGCCTGGGTGGAGAAAGAGGAGGGGACTGGGAGCTGTCAAGGAAGAAAGGCCAGCAGGGAGACTGAAACTGTGTCTGTTTTGAGGACTAGAACCGAATTATTTTATCATTACAAAATTATATTTTTGTGTTGTTTGTATCTTTAGGCTGTTTATATTTTGTATAATTATTTCCCTTTTTGTTCCTTTGGGGTTGTCAACAAACAACAGAGATTCTGAAACTTGAACGCATCAAGGTCACCTGGGGTGCTGGTTAACCATGGCGCTTCTCACCCACCCCACACTCACTGTACCCGAGTCTCTGCTTAACCTGCCCTCCAGGTGATTCAGATGCAGGTGGTCTGTGTCCCCAATTTGAGACCTACTCTTAAGGATAATGGGATTCTAAAGAAAGAAGTGTCACTCAAGACCAGGTCCATGGTGAGGTTGACCTTTGGAATCAAAGTGGCAAAAGCCCATCAAGGAAAAGTGAAACCCAGAAGGGAAATGACTTACATCACATAGCTGCCCTTCTGGGCATTCCTCAGTGAAATCAATCCTTGGAAAACATTGTACTTTGTTTTCATCAGGGGCCTGAGCCAAGCAGGTCTCCTGTCCCCTCCTTCTAACTTATCTGTGCACCATCTCCTCTTTCTGTTTCATTTTTCCCTTTCTGGATCCCTGCTGGGGCATTCCAGTTGCATGGCCTCCTATGCCTCCTTGCTTCTTGTCTGGCCCCAGTGCTTCTCCAAATCCAGCCGCAGGAAGGCAGGATCAGGTGTTGAGCTGTCTACATCCTGACAGATTCCCATCCATCTGTAAAATCCCAGCGGAAAAGGAGCGCGGTCTGGGAGCTACAGGTGCAGACCCGGTGGGCACCTTGAGCAAGCGGCTAATTGGTGGCCTCTTGGCCTCCCTCCTCCAATGGGCACAGCAGTGGGCAGGAGGCGAGAACTCAGCCCCTCAACAGTCTGTGAGGAAGGAACTTTCCCAACTCTCCCCCAAAAGGTCAAAACTGGCACCCCACAAGCACTTCAGAACTTTATCCCTGCTCCCAATCTGAGGGCCACCCTGAGACGGAGGGAAGCGGCACCAGCAGGCCCTCGACAAGGGTACTGTGCGCAGATCTACAGCTTGCTGCCCGCCTCTTCCAGTGCGGGCCTAAATACAGAAGGCTCTACACTTACACCAGACCGTGCTCTGCCCCCCTCCCAAGTGTCCCCAGCACCCTGGGAATCTCCAAGACCCAGGAGGAATCTCTGTGACTCCTTGCGTTTCTTAACCACTTTCTTTCCCCACCTAAAAGAATCACCACCACCACAACAGTGAAGGACAGAAAAGGACTGTAACCAAGGGGGGACTCGCTTGTGCGGCCACAGCCAGGCAGCGCGGAAAAGCGCCTGGAAGCGCGGCGCGCACCGGAACCGCAGCGCCCCAGGTGCACTCCGAGTCCGAGTCCGTTCTGCCGCCCCCCACGACCTCCCTACGACTGCTGCTGCAACCGGGCCTCCCGCTGCGAGCCCCTGCCCCCAGGTCCCCCGAGGAAGAGCAGGGTTGCCCCCTTGTCATGCCCGCGCCCCTCACCGTCCTCGGGGTGGAAGAGCACCAGGAAGCGAGACGGACTCCCGGGATCTTGGAGGACCTCACACTCTCCGCCTCCGGATCTCTTCGGGCTCTGGAAGTACATCTGCAATTTGGTGCTCAAGTTCCTGGGGGGGTGGGGGCCCCAAGACCCCCCAACCAGCAGCGGGAAGGAGCGGGACTGAGCCATCCTCGGCCCCGCTCGTCCGCCCGGGACTGCCGGGGCCGCCCCAACTCCGCGCAGTTAACTTTGCCTCTTTCGCTTTCGTTTCCTGGAAAACCCCTCCCGGCCTTTAGTTTCTCTCTAGAGCTATAAACAGCTGAGCCAGGACTGGACTGGCCACCCCAATTCCCCACCTCATCTCCAGCCCTCAGCCGAGGCGAATTTACCCTTCGGGGCTGGCCATGCCTCTACCTGTGCACAGCGGTCCCCTGTGCTCCGGGCACTGCCTGCCACTCACCCAAACCACAGCTAAAGTCAGCAGCTTTGGGTCGCCAGACTTTGAGCAAACAGAGAATAGTTTCACTGTTGCCACAAGCTGACATTTTACAAAAGAATAAAATGGCTCACAAACCGTGACGCTTTTAGAATGTGTGCTGCCCGTTTGGGGACTTCTTTCAACAATCAATGTAATTACCAGACTTTTACTTTGTTTTCCTTGTTTTGCTTTTTGTTCCCTGATCTGTTACTACTACATGTCTAGAAACGTGAGAGAAACAATACAGGCACAGTTTTTTGTGAAATATTTACTAGGTGCCATGCACTTGGGATGAAGTCTAAAGACAGACACAGTCCCTGCCCTCGCTGAGCTCAAGGAGCCGTGGGGGACACAGAAGAGTTATGAATGAGTGCTCTGGGAAGGAAGATGCAGGTGTTTCTGGACCAAATGAGGAGGGGCTCCTGGCCCAGGTGTGGGGGCTCAGGGAGGGTTTATGGGGAGGTGACATGTAGCCTGAGGCCCAAGGGTGATCAGGGAATGACCTTGGAATGTTGGAAAGGGGAAGGGTTCCATGATGTGATTTACATATTCAGGGTCACCCTGGCTGCTGCACGGTGGCTAGAGTGGAGGCAGGGAGTTCAGCCAAGAGGCTACCCTGGTATCCCAGGTGAGAGACGACGGTGGCTGCGACCAGGGTGCTGGCAAAGGAGGACCGAGAAAGGGTGGAGTCTAAACTGATATTGAGAGCAGGACTTGCTGAAGGACGCGGGCAAGCCATGGGAGAAGGGAAAGCTGGAGGATGACTCCGTGGTCAGCCACAGATGGCCGGAGTGAGTGGCTAAATCACCTCAGGTCAGAGAAGTGGCTATTGAGCTGCGGGACCGGCAAGCACTGTCTCCTGGTGAGGAGGGAGGAGAAGGAGATAACTGAAAGGGAGGGAAGGAAGTGGAGGCAGCAGGTAGCCAGCTCTTCCCGGCAGTGTGACTCTGAAGGGGAAGAAGGATTAGGCGTCAGCTTGTGGGGTTACAGGATGAGGGACTTGTTATTTTTGTTTCCTGGCTTTTAAAATATTTTAAAGATAGAAGAGTCTTAGATATGTTTAAATGCTGATAAAAAGAAGTGAAGGGAAGGTTGCAGATCCTGGTAGTGGCAGAAGGTGGCGGGATTCCTGGTGGCATCAGCCTGTGGAGTGGGACACTGCCCAGTGCACCCCCAGCAAGGCGGAGAGGGAGCATAGACGCAGGTAATTCCGAAAGAGTGCCGAGGGAAAGCACGGCAGTTCTCACCTGATGGATTTTGTTTCTCTGTGAAGGAGGTGGTGAGGACTCTGCCAAAATTAGAGTTGCTTTCCCCTGCAGGGATGGACCTTGCATATTGTCTCAATCACAATGCAGCTGAGTTTCAGAATAAACTAGAGATGGGCCAAAGAGTTTACTGGGCTTTTATTCCCAGTCTATAATAATGCTATACAATATCCGGATAGTTTCTCCTGCCTGCAGCTTTCTACCTGCAGATGGCGCTCATCATCTGATCTAAACTGCCCTGGGCCCCAGCCGAAGTGGAGAGGACACAGAAGGGTCTCTCCCAGTCCTCAGCCAAACAGTGGTGACTGTTTTTCCCCCAAGGCATTTCCATCTCACCCCAAACCACAACTAAGATCAGCCACGTCCCTCTTCTGCTCTCCCCAGAGTCCAGAGGTCCAGAACTGGGCAAAAGGTTCACATCATCATTTTATAAGAAATAAAGCTGGGACCATTTCTGGACTTCTTTCAAGGACTTATTTAATTATCAGCAGTGTGCCTTTGCCACTCGAGCTCTGCTTATCACTCCTGTGTGTTAGGAAGAGATAAGGGTACGCAAGTGGCCAGGCGGTGGTTAGACGTGCTGGTAACACAGGGCAGGCAATAAGGGGATGTGGCTGACATCTGGCTGAAGGTTGGGACCAATAGAAACAGAGAAAAAGAAAACACAACAGCAAGAACTTGAGGTTAGGGACTTTTCCCCACCAGAGCGCGTGCAGAAGTTAGGAGGCTATGGCCAAAGGTAGCCTTTCCCACATTAACAGACATTAGCAGTCATTAACATGGTAAAAATCACACCCCCTAGCGCCATGACAGTTCTGGAGCCAGGCATAGAAGGACAGAAAGTGGGAGGGTACCAATTCTAGGAATTCTTTACTCCTTTCTCAGAGAAATCATGACTCTTCCACCCCCAGCTTAACATAGAATTAGGGAACTCAAATAAAAGGGAAAATCTTGTTAAACTCAGTGTTAGGGTGGAAAACCTAGTAAGTGCTCAAGGTCCAGGTGGAGAAAGATTTCTCATGTATAGATTATGACATATAAATGTAAAAAAGTTTGTTTTATCCTTTAGAAGGACAGAGAGAGAGAGAGAGAGAGAGAGAGAGAGA